AACTCTGTATTTTGTAAAATTTATAATTTTTGAATCGTCTCATCAAAATCTATATATATATATATATATTTATAAATAAAAAAAACTCATGATGAATATGAAATTTTGAAAAGCATAAAAAATTTCACTGAATTTTTTTTTATACTAAAAATTAGAGAAATTTCATTGACTTCTCAATTGTTCTGGCTATAGTTAGTGAAATTTCTTTATTTGAATATAACAAACTTAGTAAAAATTTTGTTACTTCTTTTGTCAGTGAATTTGATCGATTAGTAATGGGACACCAAGTGTTTGATAATTGTTCACATAAGATAATTACCCATTTGGAAATGAGGACGACTCTAACTGGGATTATGATTCAGTCGAAAAACAAGACTAGAAGGGATGGCGAAGCTAACTATTGGTTTCAGTGGCTTTATGGGTGTATATCTGGATAGAAAGTGTATGTACAATATTTGAGTTAAGGATTATAATTGGAATATAAAGTGTGTAGAATAAGACAAATAATACCTAATCAAATTCATATGTGTGTCTATTGAAAAATTATGTGCACTGAGATAAGTAAGTGTGTGGAAATATAATTTCTCCATAAATTTTCTCCCTTGTGTTAGTTTAAGGATAAACTACTAATAGATCCTAATAGTTGAACTTAATTACTATTAAGTCCTATTGAAAATAAGTCCTAGTATAATTTGTCGCTAAAAATAATTTTTTGTGACAACTTTTTACATGTCATTAATAATTATTAGTGACTTTTTTTTTTTGTCACGGTTTTTATAATTTGTCGCTAAAACTTATAATTAATGACATTTTTCTGTGACAAATTTTTCGAACTGTCGCTAAAAGTTGAAAATTGGTGACATTTTTTTGTGACTATTTTTTTAAACTGTCGCTAAATGTAAAGCCCCGAAAATAGTCCATCAAGAAGAAATACTTTAACCAACATTCACAATGTAAATATAATGAAACCTTCAACCTTTACATCCTTAATTGCTAGTTTTATACAAAAATTGCACATGCGAAGTACACATTCAAGGATATTGACTACATGAATCTGTAGCATGTAGAGTGTCAACTTGTCAAGTTCCAAAATAAATAAAATGCCATCATGGGTTACGACTTCCAAAGCTTAAACCCAGTTACATAAAAGTGGCCTCTCGAACCCATACAAAAAATAGCCCTTGGCTAGCAATTAAATCACAACAAAATAGAGTTATATACTCTACACAAATTATCCACGCCTTCAACTTGGCGCCACCCACCCACCATCACCATCACCCGCCATCCGCCACGCACCTGCCACCACCAGCCACCACCCACTCGCTACTACCCACCACCCGCCACCGTCACCCACCCACCACCACCACCACCACCACCAACTACCTACCACCCACCGTCACCACTTTCTACCCCCGTTTTCCGCCGTCACTTGCCACCACTTGCCATTTTCTCACTCTTTTTTATTTTTTCAATTTTTTTAAACATTTTATCAATTACCAAACGCGTTTATAGTTTATGTTTTTCTAAAAATAAAAAAAAATAAACAAAAACGAGTTTATAAAATTTTTGTAAATATAAACTGAAAACGTAAACGTTACCAAACACACCCCAAGTGTTTGATAATTGTTCACATAAGATAATTACCCATTTGGAAATGAGGACGACTCTAACTGGGATTATGATTCAGTCGAAAAACAAGACTAGAAGGGATGGCGAAGCTAACTACTGGTTTCAGTGGCTTTATGGGTGTATATCTGGATAGAAAGTGTATGTACAATATTTGAGTTAAGGATTATAATTGGAATATAAAGTGTGTGGAATAAGACAAATAATACCTAATCAAATTCATATGTGTGTCTATTGAAAAATTATGTGCACTGAGATAAGTAAGTGTGTGGAAATATAATTTCTCCATAAATTTTCTCCCTTGTGTTAGTTTAAGGATAAACTACTAATAGATCCTAATAGTTGAACTTAATTACTATTAAGTCCTATTGAAAATAAGTCCTAGTATAATTTGTCGCTAAAAATAATTTTTTGTGACAACTTTTTACATGTCATTAATAATTAACAATTAGTGACTTTTTTTTTTGTCACGGTTTTTATAATTTGTCGCTAAAACTTATAATTAATGACATTTTTCTGTGACAAATTTTTCGAACTGTCGCTAAAAGTTGAAAATTGGTGACATTTTTTTGTGACTATTTTTTTTAAACTGTCGCTAAATGTAAAGCCCCGAAAATAGTCCATCAAGAAGAAATACTTTAACCAACATTCACAATGTAAATATAATGAAACCTTCAACCTTTACATCCTTAATTGCTAGTTTTATACAAAAATTGCACATGCGAAGTACACATTCAAGGATATTGACTACATGAATCTGTAGCATGTAGAGTGTCAACTTGTCAAGTTCCAAAATAAATAAAATGCCATCATGGGTTACGACTTCCAAGGCTTAAACCCGGTTACATAAAAATGACCTCTCGAACCTATACAAAAAATAGCCCTTGGCTAGCAATTAAATCACAACAAAATAGAGCTATATACTCTACACAAATTATCCACGCCTTCAACTTGGCGGGGTCACCACGTTTTTTCTTGCACCAAAATCCCATAAGGGGTGAGTATAAAGTCCAGTAGAGAATTCTTACAAAGTATATACAGTTATGCAAACTCTTAATGTTAAATGCAAATGCCAATGTCATGCAATGCCAATTGAAAGAAAATTTCATTTCATGCTCTTCTTGAAAAGTACCATGTTTCATTACAGTTTGCAATTTCAACAATTTCCGAAACTTCCAATTTTAAATCAATAGGGGCAGTAAATACGACACAGGTAATCCCTAGGTTGGTGTCTGCAAGCACGCTCTACAAGCACTACCAATAACCCCACTTTACCGGTTGCTAACCGGAAGGAAAGTGATACCTTCTCCGCTTGTGTTTTCGGTCTTTCATCCCGGACACTCAAGCCAACTTAGCAATTCATTTACACCTCCTAACTGGACTTACTAATGTATTTACCCCACACACAATTTCGTTATGTTCAATTACCATAGATATTCCTTTGTTGAAGTAAAAAGTTTCCAATCTAAATACACGATGCATAGTAATTAATTGGATGAGTATGCAATGCAATGATAATCCATGCCTCATAGCATTTCTCCATTTTCAAGTATCTTGACAACAATATCAAAACAAACACATGTCTCATTTCCTCTCTTCAATGTTATTCTACAAAATAACCATATGCCATCAACACATAACTACAACTTCCCATCATGTACAATTCTTAACAATTTAGTATCTTCAAGACTACATGTGATATTTTCAAACATCAATTCCCAAGATTTCCATTTCTCACAACCCATGGTACACAACAATTTGCCATCTCACAACCATACATGTTCATGCATTCAACAATAGTTTTTAGAACAAATTCTCCATTCTCACATATATCAATAAGATTACCTTTTTGCAAAACACATCATGAAATATATCCTCATTCATTCTCTTCACACAAGAAAAGAAAGAAATCCATAGGCATCTCCATATTTTCCAAAATCCCCAATTTCTAGGGTTTTTTTTTTATCAAAAACCAAACATTTTCTATTTCCTTGGTGAAATCCTACCAAAATCATCTTTCTTAAGTTTCATAACAAAAAATTCTCATGGATTAACAAAGGGTTGAGTTTTAGACCCACTTTTAAAACTCTCTACATTTTGGATCAAAATTAAAATCAACACAATAACTTCAAGAAAACTTTCAAATCAACCTTAATATGGCAAAACATGTATATATAACTCAAGAAATCCTTACCTCAATGTTTGATGATGAAAAGGATGGAAACCCTAGAGACAAGATAGGAGATTCTTCAATTTCCACTACTTCAAGATTAGAGAGGGATGATGATGCTAGGCTCAAAGAATCACAAGAAATCAAAGGTCTTGAGTGCTAGATGAGGATTTTTAGAGAGAAGCAAGAGGAAAAATGAGGTATAGAGTGAGATAGAGTGGCCCCAAATGTGATACAAACTCGGCCAAAAGACATAAAAAAAACAAAGATTCGGACTAAGGCCCGTTCGCACGTGTAGCACTTGCCCCCGCATGTGCGGAGCGTGCCTCTTGCATGTGCAGCTCTGATCCCCGCACGTGTGGCATCCTCTGCACCTTCCATTCTGCACCTGCATATAAAGCCACATGTGCGGAGCGCCTTCCCCGCACATGCGACCCTCACCCCCGCACATGCGGTGGTCCCTCCCGCACCTCACTCCGCACCTGCCTTTTAAGCAGTGTGCAACCCTCTATAGCTCGCCCTACCCCGCACGTGCGGCCTCACCCTCCGCACGTGCGACCCTGGCCCAGTTGCCCAGAATTTTCCCGGCTCGTTCCCGGACATTCCAGACTCAGCTGTGCATCCTCTGAAACCAAGGAAATCAATCACTGAAAGGACAAGAACAAGTTTCGTGAGAAACTCCCGAATGCAACAATTTCAAACCACTAACAAGGTTTTCCAAGCCAACCCGACACCCTAACAAGACTAATCCAAAACTAAACGAAGAAAAAACAGAATGAGTTGTGTACGCGATCATCACACTAAAACTTATAATTAGTGACATTTTGTGTGATAAAATTTTTAATCTGTCGTTGAAAATTAACAATTAGTAACGGTTTTTTAATAGTGTATGATGAAAAATGTCATTAGTTATCATATGAACTATTAAACAATAAGTCAACTTAGTAGGACCTATATGTAAGTCCCCTTATTTTACTCATTATAATTTCAATTAGCTCGATTTTAACGTTTTATTTTATATTTTGTGCTAATTTAATCTAATTGATAATGTCGATTAAGATTTTTGAAGGAAAAAAATGTTTACTGAGTTGATTAAGCTTGACTCACTGAGTTAAATAAATTTATAACTTTATCTATTGAAAGATAACACATGCCGCTTACAGAAATCAAAATGATATAAGAATAAAAATATAAGAACTAATAATTTGTCTAAAAATAGAGGAAGCAAATGAAAGGTTTATTGAAGTAAAACAATAGAGTGCAAAGAGAAACATCAATGAAACAAAGACAAAGCCAAAGCCATACACAATGCAGCAGAGTAGAGGGAGCTAAACTAGACAAGAGGCTTATACCCCCTCCCACACAGAAATCTGCAAAACGTTGGTTCAAATTAAAACCAAAACATAAAAAAATGAAGGTGAGAGATGCCTTCGAAAGGAAAAACATACCAAACCTACCAATAGCATCTGGCTCTTTATGCTTAATAATAAAGATAAACCAATCAAGTTGACAAGACAGATGGCAATTCCAACCGGCAATTACAGGGTTCAGGATCAGATATATGTCTCTTTTTGAAGAATCCATCCTTATGCACCACCACATAAAAAGCACACATATACATATATGGCATTTTATGTTATATGTTTGGCTGTGGCTAATCTGATTTTTTGGGTTGACCTTTCAAACAAAGACTTAGCATCTTAACGCGTTCCCTTTGAAGGTGTGAGCCTGGCAGCTGAAGTACCGCGCCGCTCATAGGTAATAATAAGAACGTCACTAAAAATAAGAAAAAAACTAGAAAACCTTGATACACTCATAAAATACTGAGCAATGGAAAATGATGGTGATATGACGTAAAATGAGTACCCATAGCTCAAAATCAGAAACGTTAGGGTGAAGTATAACAGGATACTATGAAATCGGATTGGGAGGACAGAGATAATAGTTGCGATTGAGAGAAAAAAGCACAGTGTGTTGAAGACATAAAACACGATGAAGAATGATCCGTATGTAAAATCACTATTAAAAGAAGCATCATGGTATAGAACTTGGTTGGCAGGATTGTGGGTTGTGCTGGTGTTACTGGGGGTGGTAAATACGGTGACATTAAAATTACTGATGTTTGTAGGAAGACCGGTAGTAGAGATGATGGTGGCATTTATAAGGGTACCATTAGGCTGATTATTGTTGTCGCCACCAAGTCCTCTTAATCCACCTGGGGGGCTAAGTATGGCTTGGAAGGTAGCCGTTGCAACTAATACAGCTACAACCAGTATCACATTCCGTGTCTCCATCGACATTGAGAAAAAATCTCGCATATGAAAGATCTTTTTAATTATTTTTTCAATCATTCGCTCCGGGGACTTCAAAAAACCAGCATGACTATAATGGGTAGGAGAGGATGAACTTTTCAAAGCTCCAGCACAGCGTAAAATAACCTCAATTTCTCTTTCGGATTCAGATCTTGCAGCGATGTCAAGGGCCATTAAGCCGTCCAAATTCGTTGCATTCTTGTTGGTGTATGATTCTTCAGCTAATAACTTCACAATCTGCATAAGACAGGCGTGCATAAATCAATAATTTTTTTATTATTGGAAAAAAAAATATTGTTATTACATATGTGAAAAAAATATAGAAGGTCTAGCTTCCCTCCAGTCCGTGATTAAATTGGAGGGTGTTGTTGGGCTCGTGGGAACTCATCACGAGTCCTGTTTTGATAATCTAAACCATTCAATATGTATAACTCGTCGAGTACTATATACCTGTAAAAAATCACGTTGACGGGATATCGGTAAATACGTGATCAAACCAGTTTTATATAAAAACAAAATGGACAGCGAAAAAATAAATAGTTGATATAAATCTGATCTGATGAAATAACTATCTATATCTGATCAACGTGATTTTTTATAAAACATATAGTACTTGAGAAGTTGTACACATTGAACGGTTTAAATTATTGAAACGGGACTCGTGGTGGGCCCCCATGGGCCCAACAGCACCCTCTAGTTCAATCACGGACTGGAGGGAAGCCAATCCCATTACATATAGCTACTAATATCTAATCATTTTAATTTTTTTGTATTTATATTCTACTCATCGAGTCTTAAAAAGTGAACGGTCCAAATTACCGAAATCGGTTTCAAAATTAACCTATTAAATCCAAATGCTAAACCCTAATTACTCAAAAGTCATGTGCACTATTAAATCTCACAAGTGTTTGTATATCAAAAATTCTAGAATAATGTTATATATGCCAATTAATGTACACACTAATGTACTAACAGATTATGTGACATCATTTGTATGATTTTGGGAATTTGTAACTTGTATAATAAATATGGTCAATAATAATATTATAACACTAGTTGGTACATTAGTGTGTACACTAATTAGTGCATGTAGTACCACCAAAAATTTTATTAGTTGGATTTAATTCTCATTAAGTCCTATCAATTCATCGTTGAAAGTTGGTTCTATCAAAGTCGTCACTAATTTCTTTTTTTTTTTTTTTTGATAATTTTATGAAGCTGTCGTTAAAAATTGAAAATTAGTGACATTTTTTTATAATAATTTTTTAAATCTGTTGCTAAAAAATGACAACTAGTGACATTTTTGTCTATAACAATTTTTTTGAAATGTTGTTAAACTGACAATTAGGGACACTATTTATAAAGGAACTGTTCTTCTTGAACTCGGAAGTGGATTCGTACTTTCGGGAAGTAGATTATGATGCAGAAGATTGTCCTCTTCCATGACAAATACGGTGACAGAAAAATGTAGAAAAAAAAACGAGAGAGGAAGGGAAGCAAAAAGCAGAGAGAGAGGGGAAAGGACTTTTAGGTGTAGTGAAAAAGTTATGGGATTAAATGGAGATCACATGTTTCCCATGGGACCTATGGGTAATTTCCCCAAGATTTTTCAGTTCTCCATTACTTATTAGGTTTGAACTTTTTCAAGTTGGCTATTTAATATGATAGAATAGTTTGGGCTTGGATCCATTTTGTGGCAGACCTTGATAATTTGAATTATACACTTTTCAAAAGTTGTTAAATAGAATATCTTAATAGAAAAAAATTAATACGATGAAATATCGATAGTTATATATGTTTGAATTATATTTATATTTCATAAAATGAATGACTATTTTTGAAGTTATATTTGCCGTTCAATATTTTAAGACAAATATGATTGAAACATATAATTACTATTATCCAATCATCCTGATTTTTTTGTTGTTGTTGGGTATAGTTATTCTACTTAAGGAGTCATCTTGGATCATAGAGATTAGCCCCAAAATCAGCCTAATAGGCCCAATTGCCCTCCAAACCGTTCTTTTATTTATTTTTTTTAAATTTAATATATAAATTATTCATTAAAAAAAGTTCATTTTGATAATCATAGCTATATGTTTGATTTCATAAAAATGATGGCAAGTATGATTTTTAATTTTTTTAATTTTTATTTTTTTGTGAAAACAAAGACAAAAAACTTTTATAGATACTAATAATAAATTGATTTTATTTTATTCATTGAGAATCTATACATTAAAATCTAAAAATTAAATAGAATGGATTAACGAAATGAGGATTGAAGTGGGTCCATGGGCCAAACTGAATGTTTCAGTCGGCTGGGGTCAATGATTCTCTATTTTTAAATCTTTTCAAGCCGAAAGATTGATATTGTTTTAAAAACGGAGCCCCAAAGTAAAAATTTTGGAGACAAGAATCTATTTATATATATTTTTAAAAGATAGAAAAAGAGTTTGGGAGAGGTTCTAACTACCCAACATAAATTTCTCTTTATACGTATGCACAAACTCTTTTATTTTATATATATATTTATAGAGTAACAATGTTATAATGCATAAAACGGGTGTCATAAAAAATTAAAAAATAATACACTGGTCTACTTTTTAGACATAATAATGTGTTAAAAAGATGATTAGTTAATAATTAGAAAATATTTAATTATTAACAAATCATCTTATTAGTGGGTCTAAAAAATATGTATAACTTTTGAGCTTGAATAACAATTTTTCTAAAAAAATTTATAGTTGTAAATAGAAAATAAGTAGGAAGAAACACCAACAAGAGAGAAAGCCAAGCATATTTTCATATAATGAAAACCAATGAATAAATAGATGGATAAAAGCACACCTCAGTTTGTGAATTGGACACAGCTATATGCAGCGCAGTGTTGCCTGTATCATCTTTTGAGTTCAACAATTTTTTATTTAGGCTCCTGCGAAGCCATCCCAACAGCACTTTACAAGCTTCTAGCTTGGAGTTTTTCACGGCAATGTGCACGGCAGTCTCATCTCGAATAGTCCGGTCCATTATTGATTCTGGACAAGCCAATAGAAATTCAGCCAAAAGATCAATGTCGCCTTTTTCAGCTACGTAGTGCAGAGGAGTGAAACTCTCCCTTCCTTTGACTCGTATGAGCTCCTTGTCAAAATTTATGAGCTGTCTTATAGTCTGAGTGAGCTCCTTTTGCAACTTGCTTAGCTCTTCCCTATTTGGCAAATTCAAGTCTTCCAAGTTTCTTCGGAGATCTTCCCTTTTTCGCAAAGCTAGATCCAAAGGGCTTAGCCCTTGTGGGTTCAACTTCTTACTGAATGAAGGCATTAATCTCATCATTTCTAAAGCGAAATGGGCATGTCCAGCTGAGGCAGCTATGTGTAAAGGAGTATCAACAAAAGGGATCTTATCTATGCCATCCAAAATATGTGGATCGTCTTTAATGCAGTCGTACAAGCCATCGATTTTTCCTGCTTCGGCAGCTGCCTTCAACTTTTCTCGTCGAGTTTGTTGTTGTGCCATGACCCGTGTGACTAATACGAATACACGGGAACTGAATTGAAGATTTGCTTTTGGTGATTCTTTTAAGACACTTGAAATTATACTCAAACTTGTGCTTAAAAGGAGGAAAGTGGTCACCTTTTATAGCAAAAGCTCTACTGATAAGAATTTGGGAGAAATTTTTGTATGCTAATAGGATACCACATGACACTACTTTCTACTAATTATAAATATATCTCTCCTATTATTCTCTGACCTTACTGTCAAAGTCAATCACAATAATAAAAGGTACCACATGACATATATCCTATCCACATATAAAAATCACTCAGAATTTGGATTTAAGAAAATTAGTGAAAAAAGGTAGTGTGTGGTTAGGATTAAATTGATATATTATAGAATTACATTTTGAGTGAATGTGAGCCACATATCACTTTTATGTGTAAAAGTAAGAAAACAACTCTAATTATACTTTTATTTTTTACTAGTTAAATTATAAAAAAAGTAGTAATTCTTTATTTTTTGCCTAATTCTTTTTTCATCTATATTTTCCAGCACTACTTTTTATTTTACTTATTTATACATACAAACTATTTAAAAAGCCTCATAGGACTTTTCAAATGTAGTTATCCTTAAACAATTTTGTTAAAATAACTATGGTAATAGCTAGCTCATTAAAATGACTAAAATATTATGTTGTTAGCTATAATAACTAACAAGACTCATTTAAAGAGTTCCTTTGGCGATGAGAAAAAAAGCTAGCTTATTAGTTTATTAGCTTATTTTGATTATATCACATCTCTACTTTTATATGTTTTTTCAAAAAAAAAGTAAAAAAAAAAAATCAATAAACTATATATATATATTTTTTTCTATTTCCCAAAACAAGCATAAGTATGTAGAATTACTATGCCTTTCTTATTAGCGGGAGATCATTATAGGGAAAATTACCAATCAGTGGTAATCTTCATAAAATTAATTGGTGATCTTCAAAAATTATTAAACATTAATGAAAAGCTTTATAATTTTAATTATTAATATTTATAATATTTATCACTTTTTAGTAATTTTTTTCACGCCCCATTGACAAGTTATTTCCCCATCATTATATGGCTGACCTCAAGAATTTGGGTATATATATATAGGGTTTGGATTATCCGAGGATGCCGTCAGGATCCGTGGGTTCACAATGGATTCTATTTCGATAATTCGAATATAATAAATTGAACATGCTATGATTATCAGATCGATTTAATTTTTTTATGAATAATAAATATGAAGTACCCTACAAAATGAATAATTCAAATCAATAAAATAAAACCCGAACCACACTAGTGTGAGTGTGACCCATTGTGGGCCTTAATGCTACTATAATAGTATAGATATATCCCATTGTGGGCCTCAATGGGTGCTCTAATAGTATAGATAATAATATAGATATATAGACTAGTAATTATGTTAAAAAAAAAAAAAGAGATTAGTAATTACCAAACAAAATCTATAATTTATAGCGGAAAATATTAATATACAAAGACCCAAGTCTTTTCTTTTTGGTGGTTGTTGGACCGTGCCAACAGCTTAGCTAAGGGGGTTGAATAGACCAATTAAATTTTTTTATTAAATTACTTGCTTAGCTAATTTGACCTTTGATGAGATTAACACACCATAAAGCAATCCACACAATGCGACAGTATTTTTAACATGGAAAACCCATGAATGTACAAGATACAGATAAGAAGACTTGCAATTGTTCATCTAGATTTATCAAACTCACACGACTTGCAGAAACCAGTCAACTTTCTTGATCTTTGAAGTGCTATGCTTTAAAAGTGGCTCAAGAAAATTCTCCAACAATGATTGAAGATATCGCTCAGAATTATTCTAGAATTTAGAAGCAATATTTGGGTTACTGAAAAAATGCTTTCTAGGAAGGTATCTATAGAGATTTAGGTTGCGTTTGGTAGACTTTTGTAAATATGATTTGAGAGTATGAGTTGTATTTTGTGTTTGTGAGTTGTTGAATTATGATTTGAGTGTAAAAAATTTGTTTGGTTATGTGTTTTGAATAGAATGTTGAATTGAGTTTTGAATTAAGTGTAGAATTGAGTTTTGAAAATTTGATTTGACATGTGAAATAAGAAAATTTATTTGGTTATGAGTTTTGGAAAGAGTTTTCAAAACTTAATTCAAATTGTTATAATTCATAACAAAACACACTACTTTCACACTATTGAAAATTCTGATCAACAATCATACTCAAACTCTTTTTGAAATTCAATTAAAAAAATTTATTATTAACAGAAAATAACATTAATCAATTTTTTAATTGAAAATACTACAAAGCAAATAATTTTTTTTCAAAATAAATATTCAAAAAATTTAAATCATAAATATTTAAATAATTTAAATAATCTAAAAAATTTAATAAGTAAAAAATTAAAATAAATATTCAAAAAATTTAAATCAAATAATTTAAAATGTTAATATTTTAAATTTAAAAACAACTCTACACTCAAATCGTAACCAAACACATAAAACAAAAGTCAGTTAAGAAATTATTTTTAAAACTCATAACCAAACGCATAACTCGAAACTCCATACTATTTTCACAACTCTGCTATCAAATCGTAACCAAATACATAACAAAAAAAATTAAAATATTTAAATATTTTTATAAAATAGAGTTTGAATTTATTTTTATAAAATATTTTAAAATTTAAAAAATTAAAATCGTAATATTTTGAAATTAAAATATTTAAAAATATTCAAAAAATTAAAAAAATCTTAACATATTTAAATATTAAAATATTTAAAATCTGAACAAAATTAAAATATTTTAAAAATATTTAAAAAATTAAAATATTGATTTGAATTAAGTTTTGAAAAGAGTTTTGAATTATGTATTTGGTTATGAGTTTTGAAAAGTAATGATTATGTTTTGAATTGAGTTTTAAAAAATGGGTGTAGAATTATAATTTGAAACCTCAAAACAAACAACACACTTAAATCAATGGATGAAATTATAATTTAAAAATTCTGCCAAACGGAACCTTAGCTTTTAAAATTATTTTAAGAAAGATTTTAAAAGACAAACGAGCGTGCAAGCGATCACACTCATAAAAGAGAGATCGATTGCATGTTGATAGTTGCCTTTTAAAAATTGTGCCCAAAATTTTGAAAAAGGAAGTGATTGAAACCCCCTCCAATCACCACCTCCACTACCCTACACACACGTGGCGGGTGGTGATTGGAGGAGAAGGAAAAAAAGAAAAATTGACCAATCAGAAAGAGAGGAGGTCAAAAGAGGTGCTTCCTTGAGGAGATTCAACTTATTTTCCTTTTGAAAAACACGATTAATCACCTCCTTTTTTAAATTTCCTTTTGAATCAATCATTCCTCTTTGGAAAGAGAGCGATATACATTATGGAAGCTCTAAAATTAATTTCATCATTTCTTTTAAAAAAAATATTGAACTTTGTTTATGTTTAAAATCATAAATATTTTTTTAATGAAAGAAACTGTTGTGATCAAAGTAGGCGTTAGTGGTAATTAGGAACGTAAAAAAAATTAAAAAAATTGACCAAACCGATTGAACCAAACCAAACCAAACCATTTATATTTAGTTTGTTTTTTTAATAAGAATTGGTCTGTTCAGTTTTTAAATTTAATTTTTTTTTTATTTTCGGTCCGGTATCGGTTCAAGCATCTTGTGTACCGAACTAAACTGAAACCGACCGTTTCAACATATATTGTATTTATATTCTATATATATACACATAATCTAATAATATAATAATATTAATAAGTATAATAAATTATTAACCTTAATTAATTAACTTTATCATCTTTGTAACTTAAGTTTGTAAACTCTTATTATGTATAATCTTAACTTTAACTCATTATTCTTAAAATCTTAGTATTTTTTAATTTTTTTTTGTTTTTATTTTTGTTAATTTAGGAATTGAAAAGTATTTATTAAATGGATGGATTAAATAAGTTTGAAATGGTGAACAAATAATTAATTTAATATTGTTGAAAAAAAAAATTAATTTAATATTTTTATATAGATTAGTGATTACATTTAAAATTGACTCAAGTTTGAAAAGTCCTAAACCAATTAAACCATACTAAACCAAACCATTTTAATCGGTTCAGTTAGGTGCGGTTTGATAGGAGAAACAGTCTGCATTGGTGTTCAAATAATAAAACCGATATTATCAATTTGGTAAATTTTTTTACCTAAATACCGACCGTACCAAACCGATTACATCCTACTGATAGTAATAATAATATCCACATTGTGTCGAATGTTAGAGAAAATACTTTTATATTTACACAGCAAAATTTCATTGTATAATCTAATTTGAATATTAAAAATTGTTTCATATGCTTGTTTGACATATATTTAAAGAACCTCCCGAACTAATTTCATCATTAAGTTGATTTTCTTTTATTTTTTTCTTCTTCTTTTTATTAATTTTGGGTCTTTCTTATTTAATATATATATCCACAATAATATCATATTTGATATTAAAATAAAAAATATTGTTATCATTGTATTAATTAGCTAGCTATAATATATATAGTGGTGAAATTGTTTAAGTTAACGTTAACTTGTATCAAACAAATTTGTGATTTTTTTAATTTTATTTCCAACCCTACTGAATAAATCATAGAAAACATAACCAAAAAGCTTTATTTTGCTCTTAACATTATTATCATGTCCATCAAGTTTTAATATGAACAACTAAGTTTAATTTTCATAGCATATATCAAAAAATTTCATTGCTCCATAATAGTGGGTGTTATTTTAATTTTATCTCTCATTTAATATGAACAATAATTTCATAAATATTTTTTATCTAAGTAAAATAATATTTTTTTAATTGTAAAACACATAATATTATAATATTTGCATACACACAACATACCCAAACTTGCTTGTGTTGAGCTTATAATATTTGCAAAACATTCCCTCTATATTGGCAAAAAATAAAGAAGAAGAAGAGGAGGAGGAAGAATATACATATAAACAGAAAACATATATACAAAATTTATAAACAAAATAATTTGATTGTATTAAGACTTGTCATTTTTAAATAAAGTATCCATTAAAATAACATATAACTAGCATAATTACCCGTGTTATGCACG